TAGGAGCTGAGGAAGAAAGCGAAGCCTTCTTACCTGCCGGAGAAGAGGAAGGAGAGGAGCCAGGCTTACGCTTCTGACTTAAAGAGACCGGTGTCCCAGCAACTACGTACCGGGCAATGGATTCCAGTGCCTCAACAGGAGAAGCCGAACGAGAGCACACACAACGGCTGCTAGGAGAGCGATGGACATCCGCCCGCACCGACAGGCGGTGGGGAGAGCCGATAGATGGAAGAAGAGGATGGGAAGGAGGATCGGAGGGGGACGAGGAAGAAGACACAGGAGACACGACAGACCGGTAGAAGGAAGAGGAACCCCGGACAGAGGACCAGGAGGAGGATCCTTCGGGAGAGAACCCAAAGGAACAGAGGAGGGGCAGTGGGCGCATCAGGGTCCAAGGCCCGGAAACGGTTGTGAGTCTGAGGAAGGCGGGAAGGACGAGGAGAGGAAGAGCGCAACACGCGAGCATAAGAGATATTAGCATAAGGCGGGATCCGGCGAACCTGGCGTCTCGCCTCAGGAAAAGATAAACGCTCCCGGTGCTTCAAGTTGAGGACGGCTGCCTCAAGCTTGTAATGGACACACGCACGGGAGAAGGTAGGATGGGCCTCACCGCAGTTGAGGCAACGAGCCTGGGGAGAAGTGCACTCCGACTTAGAGTGACCTTCGCCACCACACAAAGGACAGAGAGAGACAGTCCCGGAGCAGCGGAGGGCACCATGCCCAAACCTCCAGCACTTGTTGCAGAGCCGAGGAGAAGGAATGTACTCCTGGACAGAGCACCTGGCACCAGCAAGAATGACAGAGGGTGGAAGGGTCCTACCATCAAAGGTAATCTTCACAACCCGGAGGGGTTGACGGCGACTATCACGAGGGGGACGAGTAAACGTGTCCACCTGGAGAATAGAATGGCCCTGGGCAGCAAGGATATGTCGAATATCGTCGTGGCAGTCGCGCAGGTCCCGAACACCGGTCGCAACATGGGGCGGGAGCAAAATAGTGCCAACACTGGCATTCAACTGAGCGTTCTTCGAGATCCGAACAGGGGTCTCGCCAAAGCAGGATAAGGCAGCCAAGCGGGAAGCAGCAACGACACGTGTACCGAGACGAGTGGGGTTGAAAGTAATGGAGGCATCCACGGAATCAACGAGATGTCGATGGTGGGAGAAATCGTCAGGAGGCGCAGAATCAAGAGGGAGGAGATCAAAATATTTGGCCCACAAAGCGGGACCAAACAAGGCTTGATAGGTAGCAGAACTGGAAGGAATCGAGCGAGGGCGGCCGTGACGAGGACGGCGGTGAGAACCCCCAGAGAGAGAGAGGGTTTAAAAGGCGCAGTAGTTACAACTAGAGAAGGAGCCACGCCAGGGGACGAGGTAGTCACCACTGGGGGCCTGGGGCTCGACCCAACCACAGAGGAGGGAGGGGAGCCAGGGGAAGGAGTCAGAGAGGCCAAAGGAGGAGCAAGGTCGGGGCCCAATGCAGCGGAGGCTACAGAACCCGGTCTTCCAATACGGACCGACTCGGGGGCTTGGTCGCCCACCCCACGAGCCTGAGAAGGTACACCTGAAGCAGCCGAAACAGGGGTTATCATCATGACGAAAAGAAGAATTCATTCACGAATGTGCCCCCACACCCACCATGGAGCCACAATTAGAGGCAGGACACCCAACAAGAAGCTATCGCCGATCTTGCCGGGGCCTCCTAGGGGTGCGTCGTGAGTATACGCCCCACAAACGCCACCTTAAGAAACTGACAGTCCGTCGAGATCGGGTTCAGTGACGAAAGGGGGATTGACAATAAAAGGTTCCCCTCGCTCTCGACGTCGGGTACTACAGTTCTACGGGTGCAAGAGTATGCCTCCTCAAGCACCCGGCGTCAAAATAGAAGAAGTCCAAGGGAAGAACCAGAACAAGCAAAAGGTCGGCAGGAAACGGCAAGCAGATAGGAGAAGAGGGGGGGAGAAAAACGAAACAGAAGGAAAAGGAAAAGATGCCCAGCAGAATTGGAGAGGACGGCAGCAGGAGCACAAGGCTAGAAAAGGACAGAGGACTGTCCCAAGGAGCATCACACTCCGGCAGCCGTCCACTAAGCCCCCACACGGCGACAACGAGCTGAGCGGGGAGGGGGTTTTTTCATATATAGATCCGGTTTCTGTCGTTCTTCTGACATAAAAGACCTTTGGTTTAATAAGTTATTTAGATGTTTTCAACAATATTACTAGGGCGTTCACCGATTCTAACATGGGCGACCCTTTTGGAAACGCAGCACATGGGTTGACCTGATTGATATATGGGTCAGATTCCATTAACCCTTAAAGTGCGCATCACATCATATGACGTGCTGGACGTTGTTCCAGTCAACTGCGCATCACGTCATATGATGTGTTGGAGTACTACGCAAGATTTAAACAGCCCGCGGATACACGGGGTTCACCACACCTTCATCAGGGCTCTTGTAAACAGACGCCATTTAAAAAAAAAATCGTGGGCCAAACTCTCGGGTGTTATTGGCCTCAGTATTGAGTGAGCAACCAAGCCTGACGCACACAGCATGAGCTAACAGCACTGCTGTTCAGCTTGTGACCACAGCATCGCCTAAAAAGGCCAAATTATACTTGTTCATGCTATTATGTAGCGATGATATTATTACAGAAGACCCCTGACTGTGATAAAACTGACCAGGGTTCTGATAATAGCAGGATTGTGGTGATATTTAGCGCTGTGCGCCATGGAAGGAGGAGTAATGCTGTGGGAGGGAGGGTGGTGGCGATGTCTTTTGACTGTGTGTGGCCACCTTTTATTGACTGCACTCAGCATACCAGCTTAGTGGTTCGCTATGGTGAACACAAATGTAGATACTTATATATAACGTGTGTATAGAGGGTATAAACAGCAAGAGGTTTGGAACCGCCATTTTGATGAGGGCGGTGGCGTCGTCTGCACGACGCCACCGTGCAGACGACGGTGTTGTTTACTGGTTACCACGATGGTCTTTGGGCACCATACCAGTTTATTTGTACAAGTATGGTACAAGATATGTAGCATAATAACACCACACAGTATTGTTGGAGGAGAAATATTAGTGCATCTGGCCTTGAGGGCGGCCGCCGATCAGCTGACTGTGTGAGTAGCCACATCTTTGTGCCTTTACTCACCATACAAGCTTAGATGTACAGTTATGGTGAACAAAACATGTAGATACTTATATATAACATCTGTATACAGTGAATTATAGCAAAAACATTATTGTGGGAGGAGAATGTGGGTGAGTCAGATGACTGGAGGGAGGGCGGGAGTGGCTGGCTGGTACCGGCGGTCACTCCTCGTTACTTTTTGACTCACTCCACGTTACTTAGTGGTTCGTTATAGTGAACAAAACATGCAGATACTTATATATAACCTGTGCTTATAATGTAATAACCGACAAAGTATTTGTTCACTGATTGATGAACATAATTGAATCAACAATATGCACACCATATTTTTGAGTACAGCAATGATTCACTCAATTTATTATATAAATATATCAAACTACACACTATTGAATAATATTACAGCAAAAAAGGTATGAAAAATTATTTCAGAGACATTGAAATAATTCAGTAATTATCTCTTTGTGGCAACTTCGGCCTGACAGCTTGCGAGCAACAGACCGCCTGGGACGCACGCTGAGTCAGCGCCTATAATATGCCAGACTTCCCCGCCTTATAGTGGGCAATATATGCCACTTACGATTTTTTTATTATTTTTCCCATGATCAGTGAACACAAATTAACAGGTTAGAAAGAAAAAATAATTGTTTTTTTTTCAAAATGACATGCGCCTGTGGGGATGACAGGATATTAAACCCCGAGCATGTTAAGGGTTAAGGTTCGGAAAATCCATAGATTCCTGACGAATCCATAGACACTACAATTTAATTTTAACATCACGAGTTCTGCATGTACTATATATCACCTATTCAAGTGTCACTTATAGAACAAAATCTCTTCTTTGGATTCATCATAACATTTGCAATAAAACTAATATAACAATATTTTAATCCATAGGGAACATCAATAATTTATCTATGTATCCTAAAATAAGCAAAATTTCATGAGGTGGTGGGGAAGCATTTTGAAAAAAATATATAAACAAAAATACCTTTGATAGAAGTCCAGCTGGTAAGGTTATATCACAATATTTTGAAGATGAAGCTCACAATTTCTAAACAGTACATTGGAATTGTTTAAAGTTAATGTCATACCGTGTATCTCAAATAATGCTATCCAAGTGATTTATATTCTTAGGACTTTCAAATTAAAGAAAATTTAGTTGCTAAAACGTTTTTCTTCAGGCAGGAATCCAGTGAGGTTAATTGCCTGGTTGCACATACATGTGACTTTTCATACTGCAACTGTAGCTAAATATATGGCAACACACTGGATACTAGTGAGGGTAATTCATCTGCATCATAATGTAATTTTTTTCTCATTGTTTAAATGTTTGATCACACTAGAAAACTTGTAAAGGTTATTATCTGTAGGCCTATGCACAACATATATTTCATATTATTAAGTTTATTTTGATAAAATCTCCTGCACTCATGGAATTCATGATGTTAAATGCCTATGTACTAACATGTGCATTATTATATTGCTACCATATTACCATATCATATTGCTACCATAATGTTTCTTTTCACACACTCGTCTCAAGCCAAAGATTTATCACCAGTATCATGAATTTTGTGATTCTTCTTATGAGTTTTCATATTTCCAACAAAACTGAATTTTTTCCCACATTCGGAACACTCGTGAGGTTTGTCATTAGTATGCACTATCCTGTGGGAGTTCATATTTCCAAGTTGACTGAATCTTTTCCCACACTCAGGACATTCATGAAGTTTAACACCTGTATGCACAGGCATGTGCTTTTTTATACTGCTACGGTCTCTAAATCTTCTCCCACAATCGGCACACTCAAAAGGTTTAGCAGTTGTATGTACCATTCTGTGAGTCTTCATGTGACCCTGTTGACTGAATCTTTTACCACACTCGGACATTCATGAGGTTTAGCACCTGAATGCACCATCCTGTGAGTTTTCATATGACTAAGTTCGCTAAATTTTTTTCCACACTCAGGACATTCATGAGGTTTTTCACCACTATGCACCAGCATGTGAATCTTCATATTTCCAAATCGGCTGAATCTTTGCCCACACTCAAGACATTTGTGTGGTTTTTCACCTGAATGCACCATTCTGTGAGTCTTCATGTTTCCAAGCTCATTAAATCTCTTCCCACATTCAGGACACTCATGAGGCTTATTACCTGTATGCAACCTTCTGTGAGTCTTCATATCTTGAAGACGACAAAATCTTTTCCCACACTCAGGGCACTCATGAGGTTTATCACCAGTATGCCCCATGATGTGAACCTTAATATCTTGAAGACGACTGAATCTTTTCCCACACTCGGAACACTCGTGTGGTTTATCTCCTGTGTGCACAGTCATGTGAGTTTTTACGTGATCAAGACGTCTGAACCTTTTTCCACACTCAGGGCATTCATGAGGTTTATCACCTGTATGCACCATTCTATGAGTCTTCATATGTCCAAGATAACTAAATCTTTTACCACAATCTGGACACTCATGAAGTTTCGCCATCTTTATGGTCTGTGCAGTTTGCTTGGAGGTTTTCTCCTTTCGTTGACTGCAGTCGCCTTGCGACATTACTAGTGTCCTGAAAACACAACACTGTCACTGGTCTGGCTAATTTGGCCTTGTTGTTTTCTTCTATGGTTGTAATATTTCGTGTAATTTGCGTGAAATGTTTTTTCGATGTCTGCACAAGTAGTTGCAGGAAACCCGTCTGGGCGGGAGAACATTACGGTGATGGCTGTTATTAAGATGGCGTCAGACCATCCAGACGGGGGACTGGTCAAGTCGTATACTGCAATTTCAGATACCGGCCTAGAAACAACTTCGTTCAATGAGAAGTTTGTACATACAAACCATTCCGTTCGTATATGCGCTGGTTTGTGTTCGCTGTTGTTCTCGTCTGAATAAATACATGGCATTTGTTCATATAATTAAGCGCTTCCATTATTAGAATTATTTATCCATTATTAGAATAACAAGGTGCAAACCATACCCCCTTACAGTTGAAATCTATTTATTTATATACAAGAAGGTACATTGGGTTGCGAGAGTACATAACATATATTAAGAGGTACATTGTAGCAAGATTTGAGATTAAAGGACTTAAGACTAACACGTTTAGAAACAAGGCGCCCCCGAAGGAGGTTATTATTTGTTATGCACCCATACTCAACCCGTAAATAGTGGAGCAAAACATAGATTACATGGTCATAAAGTCTTAATCAGGCCAATTCAATTCTATTTGTAAGCTCTTATTGTATTGTTATATTATTATATTGTGTTTTGCTATAATTACTTCCTATTTTACAGCAGATTTGTTTTTCATCTGTTCATGTAATTGCTTATCTTATTGTATTGTGACATTCTTTTCTATATTGATATATATTTTCTGTCTATTGTTATTTACAGTGTACCTGAGAGTACCTGTAAGCAATCTACCTCATTTTTCATTTTTGCTCAATTTTTTTTGTATTGCTTAGTCTTGTTTATATTTTGTTTTGTATATCTATATCTTGTGTTTTGTATAGTCCATGTTTATATGTTTTTTTTCTTTAATCTCATTCATTACCTAGGTTTCCTAGCCTAGCCATACTCCATTGTACCCCTGTAAGCCCCTTTTGTGTTTGTTTGGTACAGTATTGTGTACATTTATTTCTTTTTGTTTTTCTTGTTTTTCCTGCAATCAGCTTTTTTTATGCAGTCAAGTATAGACCCAGAACTTAACCTCTTATCCACTATCTATGACAATAATCACTTTAATGATCTAAATTTATGCAGTCTCCGTGGTGTAGTGGTAAGACACTCGCCTGGCGTTCCGCGAGCGCTATGTCATGGGTTCGTATCCTGGCCGGGGAGGATTTACTGGGCGCAATTCCTTAACTGTAGCCTCTGTTTAACGCAACAGTAAAATGTGTACTTGGATGAAAAAACGATTCTTCGCGGCAGGGGATCGTATTCCAGGGACCATAGGATTAAGGACTTGCCCGAAACGCTACGCGTACTAGTGGCTGTACAAGAATGTAATAACTCTTGTATATATCTCAAAAAAAAAAAAAATTGCAGATATTTTTGCAGCACATGATGTAACAATGTATTAACTCATAGTCACAATATCTCTGTAATCAATTTGAACGTTAGATCCCTAGGTAAACACTTCGATGATGTTAGTGCCTTGATTGAAGCTATTGACAACAAATTCTCTTTTATTATACTTACTGAAACATGGTTGAAAGATGATACTACTCTACTCTTTAACATGCCTAACTACTCAGCAATCCACAACTGTCGTCAACTTCAGAGAGGTGGTGGCACTGCTCTTTACTACCACCAAGAACTAACATGCTTAAAAGAAATTAGAACTAGAGACTGCTATGGGGAGTATATCATCGCCAGCTTCAGAGTCAAGGGTGCCGAGTCTATCCTGTCTGTGGGTGCAGTTTATAGAATTCCTAACACTGATGTGTCCGAATTCAACTCAAACCTTAGAAATCTAATACTTGATAACAGACTGAACAAAAACCACCTAATTATCGCAGGGGACTTTAATATTGACCTCTGCGAGCCAGAACACCCTACTGCTGTTAGCTTCCTCAACTGTATGAATTCCTGCTTCCTCATACCCTTAATCACTAGACCTACTAGAATCACTGATAGCACTGCCACGACTCTAGATCACATCTGGACAAATATAACCTCTCCGCTTACTTCAGGTATAATCACCGATAGCACTACAGACCATTACCCCACATTTCTCTTAACTAACATTAGCAAACCACCTCTTGAGTCAAGAGAGATACGTTTTAGACTACACAATGAAACTGCTATAGACAATTGATAGCTTTGTTGAAACATGAAGACTCAACAAAAACCACATCATTCTGGGAGGAGACTTTAATATTGACCTGGGTCAACAAAACTGCTCTCAAGTTGACTATTTCCTTAACAGCATGAACTCCTGTATGCTAATCCCCACTATCACCAAACCTACCCGAGTCACTCAAACATCAGCCACTACCTTGGACCACATATGGACAAACATAACAGCTCCCCTTGTATCTGGTATAATCTACGACAGAACAACTGACCACTATCCTACCTTTCTCATAGCGAACATGGACATAACACCACCAAAAAGCAAGAAACTTTCATTTAGGCTACACAGTGAATCAGCTTTAGACAATCTTACAGAGGCACTTCACAATATTAACTGGGATTCTGAATTCAATAATACCCATGATATAAATTCATTAGCTAACCTCTTCCTCTCCAAAACTCTAAGCCTCTACAACCTTCATTGTCCCCTTCTTACAAAGCAAGTAACTGACAAAAGATTAAACAATCCATGGCTCACAAGTGGCATTCTCAACTCAATCAACAAGAAACATGAATATGAAAAGAAAGTTAGATTGGCCTAGTTTCAAAGGAAGTAGCTAAAAGGTACTCATCAATGCTTACCAGTATCATAAGAAAGGCAAAACTTGCATATTATGTGAATAGATTCAATGAAGCAAAAGGCAACATGAAAAACACTTGGAAAACTATCTCTAGTATCCTAGGAACTAAACAACACTCACATAACCAAATAAAACTCTACAAGGATGGGGATATACCGTCAACTGATTTAGAAATGGCAAATGAATTTAATAGTTTCTTTTCATCGGTTGGTGCTAATCTTGCCAGTAAAATCCCACAGACTCAGACACATATTAACACATATCTCTCAGGCAGCTATCCAAACTCTCTTCTCCTTTCACCAATCAGCCCGGCAGATGTTGTGTCCATCATACACTCTCTAAAAACCAAGGCAGGGAACACCAGTGAAATTCCGTCCATTGTGTACAAGAGAGCCTCCCATGCCCTTGCCCCACCCATAGCACTACTGTTCAACAAATCTATGGAGTGTCACACCTTCCCTGATATCCTCAAAAAAGCAAGAGTAACGCCAGTCCATAAAGGAGGCAATCCGGCGGACATAAACAATTATAGACCAATATCAAATCTACCCATTCTATCAAAAATATTTGAAAAAATTATTTACAAACAGCTCTATTCCTACCTCGTAAAATTCGACATACTCAGCCCCTGCCAGTTAATTGGCTTCCGGTCCCAAAAGAGTACCAATGATGCAATCATTAGTCTCCTTGACATTATCTACTCAGCCCTTGACAAAAATGAGTTTCCGATTGCACTCTTCATTGACCTAAGAAAAGCCTTTGATACTGTTAATCACAACTACCTCTTACTTAAACTCCAGCATTATGGAATCCGAGGCCTTGCCCTTGACTACATCCGATCCTATCTTAGTGACAGACACCAATATGTAACCATTAATGATACAACTTCTTCCACTCTACCAATTACCGTTGGAGTGCCACAGGGCAGCATCTTAGGACCTCTTCTATTTCTTATATATATAAACGATCTGCCTAATGTCTCTAAAATTCTCAAACCTATTTTGTTTGCTGACGATACTACCCTTATCTACTCAAACCTCAACCCACATACACTAAATAATGTTGTGAATAATGAATTAAAAAAAGTCCACTTATGGATGTCAACGAACAAACTAACATTAAACATCGAAAAGACTTACTACATCTTATTTGGAAGCAAATCATCAAATGCAATTCAGCTACAGATAGACAACATTAACATCAGTAATAAAAATGATGGCAAGTTTCTTGGCCTATTCCTAGACAAGAGACTCAACTTCAGCACCCACATTCAACACATAACTAAGAAAGTCTGTAAGACAGTTGGTATACTCTCCAAATCAGATATTATGTTCCTAACTCTGCTCTCCTCTCACTATATTATGCACTAATCTACCCCTATCTTAATTATGGTATCTGTGCATGGGGGTCTACCACTGCAAACCACCTTAAGCCCATCGTCACACAGCAAAAATCTGCTATCAGAATAATAACTAACTCTGCTTTCAGACAACACTCAGCTCCCTTGTTTAAATCTCTAAACTTGCTAAATATTAACTCCCTCCACACATTCTCTTGTGTCAACTACATTTACAAAACCCTGTTCTTAAATGCAAACCATGCTCTGAAACTCTCCCTGGACAGATGTATAGGACCCATTATCACCACACCAGAAATAAATATCTCTTTGATATCCCCAGGGTCAAACTTAATCTGTGTAAACACTCTATGCAAATTAAGGGACCTAGTCTATGGAACTCACTCCCTAGTGAATTGAAAAACTGTAAAACTTTTGCCTTATTTAAAAGCTAAACCAAAAAGTACCTAACTTCATCTATTTAGTTTCCTACACTGAGCTTTAAATTTGCTCTGTACCTAGTGGTACCCAATCTCCTAATTTTTATGTAATATCAAACAACCTTATCATTGTGTTCATTGCTGTCTTCTTTTATGTGCTAGCCATATGCTGTATTGTGACTACCAATTTTTGTCAACTACCATTCAAGCTGTCATTGCAATCAATCTTATATTGTTTCTGCTATATTGTGCCTACGAATTTGTTGTCAACTACCATTTTAAGCTGTCATTGCAATCAATCATAGCTACCTATGTGCTTTAATATACTGTACCTATAATTTT